TGAATAACCACTTACTGTTACCAGAAAACAAAACCCAGTTGTTCCCTTCAAAGCAGAGGTTTTCAACACTTTTAGATTTAGAACTCATACTGTTCTTGGTTTAAAACCACTTCTGGAGGCAATTCCACAAGAGACATTGAACTTACTCATGTCCTTAAATTAAATGAAGTGACTCACAAGGGGACTGTTTCATTTCTATAACATTTGGTTAGGTTATTTAGTTCTAGGATATTACATCAATAAAACATTTCCTAGTATTCTCTGAAAGGGTATCTCAAGTTTTAGTGGCCTTCAATTCACTTATTGAGATTCCTTAGAATTAAATTATTTACTAGAGTGTTTTTCCCAAGTTCCCATAGCATTTATCCGAGTAATAATTATTTGTATCTGGGTTTGTGAATTCCTTGAGGACAGAGGACATTGTTGGAGGCCTCCTATTTGTTTTAAAGTACAGTATGCACAGCGTGGGAGGTGCCTTTTGAAGGCAAGAGCTCTTTCCCTGGCCAGCTCTTTACCGGCTCAGGATAGGAAGGAAGGAGACAAATACAGTGTGAGTGAAGCACCTGAGCATGGATGTCAAGTGATGACAGCTGCTACCCCCTGGCCATCCACACATGTTAATTACTCCTATATTTTAAACAGTTGTATTGTATAACCAGGGCAAAGTGTTTTGCTCCATGAAGTCTGTTTTGCACCAATCTATGGGGGTATGAATAAATGGCAAAGGTGGAGGCCACAGAAGGTCGGCAGAGGAAGAGAAGTGTGGTATTGATACCAATCAACCAAATTAGATGGAGGAAAGGGAGTTATAACTGTACTTACAAAGAACTCTTGGTTCAATTTTTCCCCCTTAAACATTATACAATCAATATTTAAAACTTTAGTGTGCACATGACTTACCTCAAGTTGATGCTGAAACGTACACTCCAAGGACCACTCCTCAGAGGACTGGATTCAACAGGCCTGTGTTAAAGCCCTGAAATCTGTATTTAAACACCCAGCTCAAGTCAACTGTGATGCAGGTAACCCTCAGAAACAGTACATCGGCAGTGATGAGATTTTACCCCTAAAAATGAATAAAGTAAGAGGGGCATGACTGGGAAATGGTGATACTGGAGATGACCAAGGTGTCTGCTCTTCTCCTATCTCAGAACTTCTCCACCCACTCACCCAAATCATAATACCCACACAAGGCTTCAGGACTACTGCTCCCCCCTGAGCTGTTTGGATTTTTATATATTTTTTATGTGATAAAATACTTTTTCTAAACATATCCTGTTTTTCTATCTCCAGAGTACATATATCAAAAACTTCATTAAGAAGCTTGATAACTTTATGGGAAAATGAATGGCTGAAGGATAGAAACAGGTGGGTGAGATGAGCAAGATCACAAATCCTGATTACTAATATGTAAATCCCTGAGCCCCAAGATGAGCAAAACTTTCCATTCCCATCAATGACTTCATAGAAAGGCTAGTTCCATTTGCCTCCTGTCTTTCTTCTTTCTCATGTATACCCTGAGCATTATATGGATAAAACAAACAAAAATCTAAACATTCCCCCCATACACATAATTTTCCTTTTTTTAAATTTTTTTTTTTTTTTTTGAGAGAGAAACATCTATTTGTTGTTCCACTTATTTATGTATTCATTGGTTGATTCTTGTATGTGCCCTAACCAGAGATCAAACCCGCAACCTTGGAGGGCCTATTGGGAATGATGTTCTAGCCAACTGAGCTACCTGGCCAGGGCTCCCCCCACAGTTTTAAAAATTGTATATAGGTCATAGAGGCCATATAAAAGGAGATTACTTATTCCTGATTTATCAGTAAATTATTTGCTCAAGATTACTCAGCTAGTTAGTGGTAGGTGGCGCTAGAGCCAGTTTTTTTTTACTTGATAGGCATGACAACATTAGCAAGTCATGAAATGTATGTTCTGGGGTCTTGATGGTCATTTTTAGAAAAATGAAACGTTAAATAGAAAATATCAGAGGAACTAAATTTGGGGAAACACTGCTCTATCCCACTGTGTGGCCTCAAAAAGAGATTTGCAAGAGGGAGCATTTTGAGCTGAATCTCCAAGTCTATTGTGATTCTATTGAAGCTAAAGAGAATTTCACATTCTCCACCAGATTCTTTTTTTTATCCTCACCGAGGATATGTTTGATTTTTTTTTTTTTTTTTTAAACAGAGGGATCAGTTGCCTCTCGTATGTGCCTCGACCAAGGATTCACCCCACAACCTTTTGGTGTCCAGGACCATGCTCCAGTCAACTCAGCCACCTGGCCAGGACTCCCCACCAAATTTTTAAGGCAATATCATTCTCAGTAGTTTCCCAAGTTAAAAATAAAAATAAATATGTGCTATTCTGAGAATGTGAAAATTCTTACTTGGGAAGGAAATGCCATAATCAGGCCAATGGACATCTGAATATTCATTCATTTTACAGTATTTTGAATTGCAGTTGAAATGAATAAGTAGGGAAAGCAAACAATGAAGAATTCAATGTATCAACTTAAAAACTACAAAGTTTAGCCCTAGGTGGTTTTTCTCAGTGGTTAGAGCATTAGCCCATGGACTGAAGGGTCCTGGGTTCGATTCCAGCCAGGGGCACGTACCTTGGTTGCAGGCTCAATCCCTGGCCCCAGTGGGGGCTGAAGCGGGAGGCAACCAATCAATGCGTCTCTCTCACACATCGATCTCTGTCTCTGTCTCTCTCCCTCTCCCCCTTCCACTCTCTCTGAAAAGCAATGGGAAAAATATCCTCAGGTGAGAATTAAAAAATAAATAAATAAATAAAATAAAAATGACAAAGTTTACAAAGAAGGAAGTAAGAAGGAGAGAACGAGAAAGAGAGGTGAGCACCTAAAAGTCTACTAGCGGTGAATGCTTAAGTAAATTATGCCACCACCCTCTGAGTGAGTCACATGGGTTCAGCTGGGGCTCATCTGATCAGTTACCAGAAGGGTGCTCTTAGCTCTTGCCTGAAAAATGCCACCCCAACCTGAAGAGCAGGACCGCGGTGACCCAGAGCATTCTCACAAATTGTAACTCATGATGGGAAGTTCTTTTAATGACGAGGCAACTGAAGTTTCATTATGTCGAGGAACTCTGGGGAAGTATCACAATACACCATTTAAAAATATATTTGTATTAGACACACCCACTTTCTAGAATAAAAACCAAAGTGGCCTGTCCTTTTACTTTCTACCTGCTGCAGAATTATGTCCAGTTGTTCTGTCTTCTAAAAGCTTTTTATAGAAAAGGGGGACCCAGATGGCAGGATTGAAGGCGTCCGGATTCTGACGGTGAGACCAGCATCTGAAACCCCTAGGAGCTCGCAGTCCGGAGGGATGAAGTCCCGGCTCTCCCCTGCTCCCCAGGTCAGCCCGCCCTGGCTTTTTGGTTTTTTTGGGGATGTTGCTTTCGTTCTTGAAGGAGTTCTTTTTAAAAGCCAATTTATAGGAAGCCTCGGTGGGAAGTTTCACTTTTAGTTTCATGCTTATAAATAGTCATTCCAGGGACGCAGAATCTGCTAATCCGCAAGTTGAGTGTTAAAAAAAAGAGTGCCGGCCGCCTGCGGGAGCAGAAGGCAAACCCGCACGGAGGGCGGGACCACCCCGGCCGCGGCGCGCTCCTGGGACCCGGCTCGGCGGCGCCTCCGCGCAGGTAGGGAGCCTCCCGCCCCTGCGAGCGACCCCGGCGCGGGATCTCTGGCCCTCTCGCCCCGCACTTTCAAAACGTGCGGCTCACGGTGCCCTTTCCTTGAGGTGGAGCGAGGAGAAGGGAAAGGGGCGGCTCGATGGTTGCGGGGGGCAGGGTGCGCGGTAGAGCCAATTGCTCGTGCAGGGGCCTGGGCACCGCCAACCCGCGTGGTCTTCCGCTAGGCGGGATCTTGTCAGCAGCAGGGTCCTGTGCGTTCATAAATACGGCCCTGAGGGCGCCAGGGGATCTAGAGCGACGCTTCTGGGCTGGAGGCCGGGATACCTGGGTCCAGGGGCATCCTCTGCTACTGCCTGGGGGTAAGTCAGCCCCCCTGCAGCCTCTCCTGAGGTGCTTTCCTGCAGGAAGACCCAGGGTGCTGGAACCAGAGCCCTTCGCCCTCTCTGTCCTGGGGACTCTAAAGAAGCCCCGAAGGAGGGCGAAAGGAGCCGGGGTGAAGGGGGTGGGGAGTTAAAGCATTTCTTAGACACGCTGGCCTTGGCTTATGTCAAAGTAGAGTTTGGGTTTGTTTTACAGCACAGGGAGTACTCCCAGTACCATTGTTCCACCTTTGTTTTTGGCACCTAAAATAAATACATAGACAAACTGTGGATGCTTTTTCTATGGATTAAATAGCCTTCTAAATGTGTGGGGTTTTTTGTTGTTGTTCTTGTTGTTTTTTAATGGTTGTATTCCATGGTGCTGGTTTACCGAACAGAAATAATCCCCCATGTTGTGCATAAAGATTATTTACAGTTGCCGTGATTTACTATTTTCACCACTCCCTGGACGTTTTTGCTCTCTGGGACAAGGCTGATTATTGCCTTCAGGTATACTCTTAGAAGCATAATTACTGAGTCAAAGAGTCTGAGTATTTTAAAGGCCTTTTGATTAAATGATGATGGAAGGAGATTGGACTTGGGGTGGTGAAGAACACAATACAATATACAGATGATGTATTATAGAATTGTACACCTGAAACCTATGTAATTTTAATAACCAATGTAATCCCAATATGTTCAATAATAAATAAGTGATAAATAAAATTAAAATTGCCTTCCAGAAAGATTGTGACAGTTCACATTGACAGTTGACAGTTGTTTTTAAGAGCTATGATACTTTCAAGAAAAAAAAATAGCTTTTTTCAGTGGAAGAGAGTAGCAGAGGTTATAGGACAGCAATTACTGTGTAGTCGTAAAGGAAGCCATGGCAATATTGTGGGGAATCGAAGCCATACCTGGGAAATGTACAAGTGTGTCTCAGGGTCACTGAAGGGGCCACTGAAGATCAACTCTCTTGATCTATTAATGGGGTAAGTTTTCAGCTTACTTGGAGATACTTTATCAAATTCTAAGAACTTTAAAAAATCAAATCATAGTTTTATACATTGGGTAAAAATAAAAGGAAACCCTAAACCAACATATATCATGACACTCTGTGCTTCCACTTTTGAGAAACAAAGCTTGAATTCTTTCCCTGTCTCTTCCTCCTATACATTCACCCTTGTGAGGTAGAGAAGTAGTATCAGTTCCATAGTATTATACTGGGTTCTCCCAGGGACAAACCTGCTTCCCCATCCTGAATGAACCATCACTTATTCCCTAATTCACATTTCCTTGGTCTTTCCTCTCGGTTCTTGTCTGGGAATTCAGACACTCATTAGCAAAATTAGTTGTAATCCATGAGTAGATTTAATGTCCCTCTAATTTATTAAACAGTTCTTTGCTTGGAATTAGGGTTATCTTAAGTTTTCTTCTGCCCAATGAGTGCATTTGTGTTTATAACAGCGCATTTGTATTTTGTAATTGTGGTATATCAACTCTGGCCTAAGGAAAGCACAGCCAGGTAGCTGCTGCAGCAGCCTCATTTCAACCACCTTTTTGTTCTCAAGGCCTGGATGCCATCCCTATCCCACCCACAGCACATATAGTAAGGAGAGAAATAAGAATTATGCACCTCTCACTAGCAAGAGGATGATGACTCATTTTATTTTACCCTTTGTGTATAAGTATATTAACATGAAAGATCATATAGATGGTTAAGAAACCAGTAATATAAATAGAACAAAAAAATGAGCAGATAATTCCCAAAAGAACTAAAACAGTCAACAAACATATGAAAAATTCAAACTCCTTTTTTTTTTTTTAAGATAATTTCTACCCTCACTGATTCTTGTGTTAATAATGGGCACCTATTTTTTTTTCAAGTTGTGCTTTTTAAATCAAATTAGAAAAAATATTTTTAAAACAATACCCAGTGCTAGGTGAAGATACAGTGTAACTGGTACCAGTTATCCACATTTAGGAAAATGTTCTTTCTCCTTGATCAGTAATTCCACTTGGGAAAATCTATCCTGACGGTCTAGCCTGGGGCCTGGCACACAGAAGACACTTAACAAATATATGATGAATACACAAATACTTTAGACATTGTAAATACTGGAAGCAATCTTATAGTTTGCAATAGAGGAACTAAATGTTATGGAACCACTAAATAAGATGGTTATGAATATCATGCAGTAAAATGGGAAATATTTATGTCATAATATTAAATGAAAAATGGGTGTTAAATATGTGACAAGGTTTTAATTACTTTTTAAAAGATTCATAGGGGGAAAAGACTGTTAAAAATGTGCTAAAATGCTCACAGTGGTTGTGAGGTTTCTCAACATTAGCACTATTGACATTTGGGGTCACAATGTGTCTTTGCTATGGGGGCTGTCCTGTGCATTGTAGCATGTTTAGCAGTGTCCCTGACCTCTACCCCTTACCCCATTTTGACAACTAAAAATGTTTCAGGTGTTACCTGGGTTAAAGTGATAGAATAGTGGATTGTTTTTTCCTTTTTTTCTCATTTTGCATTTATATTACTTTAATAATGAAGAAAAACATAAAAATAAACAAATGTCATTATTTTACCACAACTCAGATGTTTGTGATTCTGGGTGTTTTTTTGTTTTTTAAATCCTTGCCCAAGGACAAGCTTAGAGAGAGGAAAAGGGGGAGGGAGAGAGAAATGTGAGAGACGTATGTATGCTCCTGATCCCTCAGCCCAGGCATGTGCCTAACCAGGAATGGGACTGGCAACCTTTCGGTGCACAGGACAGTGTTCAACCCACTGAGCCCCTCCAGCTGGTGGGATTTTTTCGTTATAGTACTCTGTTTGCCAAATACTCTGCAGATTGGCAAGGTGAAATTGTTTATTAAATTTTGTTTTTATTCTTTTCTGAGAATGAAAGTAAAACATATCCATTCATTTGAAAAAAAATCATTCACAATCTTATCTCCCTTTTTTTTCTTTTCATTCTTTTCTCCTGTCCTTTCTTCCTTTGAAAAAAAAATAGAGAGAGGTGAAAACCTACCTGTCCTCCCTCTTATTTTACTCCTAGAGATGATCACTGTCAGCACCTCAATATGGTTGATTCTGGACATCTATGTTTAAACACACACAGACAGAGATTTTTCTTTAAAAAACAAAACAAAAGTGGATTTCTGCTACATACACGGTTCTGCAACTTTTTATTTTATTTTAATATATCTTTCTTGATTTCAGAGAGAGGAAAGGAGAGGGAGAGAGAGAGAGATAGAGATAGAAACATCAATGATGAGAGAGTCATTGATCGGCCGCAGCCCACAACCTGGGCATGTGCCCTGACCGGGAATCGAACCCCGATCGCCTGGATCCTAGGTTGGCACTCAACCGCTGAGCCACGCCCGGCCGGGTTGCAACTTACTTTCTACATCTCTGCACAATCAGTACATATACATGTGCTTGATTCTGTCCTTAATGGTATTACATTGTATGATTATACCAAAATTTATTTGACCACTTAGGTTATCTAGAGTATTTCCAGTTTGGGACTAATATTAGCAATGCCATCCCTTTACATATATTGTTATATATGTATGTGTTTTTGTTTTTATAGGATATATTTCTAGAAGAGGAAGTGAAAGCTCATATGACATATATATTTAAATTTTTAATAGAGACTACCAAATTGCCCTCCAAAAAAAGGTTACATAACTTCATACTCCTTCCTACCAGGCGAGAGGTTTATATCCTCAACAAACAAACAAAAAACATTAAATATTAGGAAGCTTTGTGATTTTAGTCAAGCTAATAAGTGAAAAATGGTATCTCATATCTTAACTTTATACTGTTTTTAAATTGATGAGATTGAGCACTCTTTCCTTTGTTTAAATGTCATTTGCATTTCTTATTCTCTAAACTGTATGTTAGAACCTTTGGTTCATTTTCCTGTTGGGTTGTGGGTAGTTTCCTTATTGATATTTAGAAGCTATATATATATATTAGGAGCATTAATCTTCTGCCTTACATATGTGTAGCATTGATTAGTTGATCATTTGTGAGTTCTGGTAAGTATGCAGAGGTCAAAAGGGCCCTAAGGAAAAACTGACTTTCTTCTCAAAGTGTATAAATGTACGTATAACGCAAGAGAGAAACTGTGTTTTCGTTGTTGCTGTTGGTTTGGTTTTTTGTTTTTGTTTTTTGAATCCTCACCTGAGAACATTTTTTTCCATTGCTTTTCAGAGAGTGGAAAGGAGAGAAGGAAGAGAGAAACTGTTTTATTAAATAAACAGCTTGGGTGAAATCCAGTACAAATCTTTTTTATTTACTTCCCTACTTGAATATAAGCTCCAAGAGGAGAGTAAGTTTTCTTTTCTGTTCACTGATATATCCCCAGTGTCTAAAATAGTGCCTAGCACAGAGGAGGTGCTCAATCAAAGTTTGCTGAGAAAGAATTGGGAGAATTTCAAGCAGGATGACAAAATGTAGCACAGACTCTAGACAAATACCCCTCAAAGAGTGCCTGTGAGCCTTTCACATCTTAATATGAATCAGTCAAATCCAACTGTTTCTCCTTCTCACTCCCCCTGCTACTAGTGGAATCAGTTTATTGCAGGATAGCATTTATTATCTGGCATGAGTGAAGGGCAGAAGAGGAGATTTTTGAAGGATGGCACCTGGGGGAGATCTGGCATGGTTGGAGTAGTGATGTGGAAGGCTGGAATCATTAATTAAAGGTTATGATGAAAGTATTCAGCTACTGGAGGTGTGGGATGGAAAGCATTGGGAGGTGGGATGATATGGACGCCAGGTTCTCCTGGCTTTGACATTTTGCATAGGGCTAATTTGGATTTCTAAATATGTTATACTGCAGAAAAAAACGGATGAAGTAATGGAGAATATTTTGGTTCAATATTTTCTACTTAGCTCTATTGAGTGTGCATTATAAGTTTTTTGTGAAGCTGTAATTAAATTTTAAAATTCTCATCATAGTAGCTTTTTAAAAAATTTGCTTTAAGTGGCTCTGGGATATTGAGTGACGGTATTGAATTTCTAAATCCCCTGCTGCATTTCTACAGTTAGAAGTCAATCATTGTCTGGTTATCAGAAGACAAGTCCTGTAATGTCTGGGTATTTGATTATTGAGTGAAGCCGTTTCATTTTTGTGTTTTCCATAATTAGGTCATTTCAGAAAAAATGAGGATACTTCATAGTTTTATATTTATGGCCTACTGTCATTTGTTGAAAGGTAAGACACCAAATCCTTGTATTATGTTCTATATTTTAAATATTTTAACCTTAAGTTAAAAACTAAAATAATTTAAAATGCATATAGTTTTTAATAGAGAGGGGATTCTGTTTTTCCTTCTTTATTTCATAAACATTCCATAAACTCATATCATTGGACAAGGATTTAGGTAATATGGACAAACTGAAAGAAATAAAATTAACTCTCCGTTATCCATTACGCAGTGTCCATTTCTCAGGTATACTTACTGAAAATATCTGGGAAGATTGCCTTTGATGTTTGTTTTAAACAAAAGAAGGATCATTTTATCCACCTTGCTTGGCGACCTGCTTTTCCCTGAAGAGTATATTCTAAGGAAGAATTATGGAAAGAGTCAGGGTAACAACAGTACTGGCATCATCCTAAGCCCACCCCTAAATCTCCATACCCGCATACCTGTGACCAGACAACTGAGCAAGAGTTTAGGGCTTCAGTCAGGTGCTGCATACAGAGGATTCGGTCAGTGATGGACTGCATATGCCACAGTGGTCTCTTAAGATTATAATGGAACTGAAAAATTCCTATCACCTAGTAACATCACAGCCATCCTAATGTCACAATGCAATGCATCACTCACGTGTGTGTGGTGAGGTTGGTGTAAACAAACCTGCGCTGTCAGTCGTATAAAAGTATAGCATGTACAATTATGTGTAGTACGTACTTGATACTGATAATAAATGACTACGTTACTGGTTTATGTATTTACTATGCAATACTTTTTATTGTTATTTTAGAGTGTACTCTTTCTACTTATAAAAAAAGTTTGTTTCTAAACATTTTGCCATGTTAGCCCAACAGCAGCCTCATACATCTTGTGTTTACCAAGTCTCTTGATTGCATCATTTTCTCTTGTGCTTGATTTAATCTCATGTTGTTTGGTACAGTAACACATCATACAGGCTTGTAGCATGGGAGCAATACACTATATCATATAGCCTAAGTGTGTAGCAGGCTATACCACCTAGGTATGTGAAGTGCACTCTGAGGTTTGCACAACAGCAGAATCTCCTAGCAATGCATTTCTCAGAACGTATCCCTATTGTTAAGCAGTGCATGATTGTATTGGAATCTATCATTCAGACTACTCAAAAGGCAAATAGGTCTCCAGTCAAAGGACATTCTGGGGATGTTCACATGAGACAAAGTCTTCAGGTTTTAAGACCCCCATCACCATACAATATTTCTACAGTAATGTATGTTTATGAATTTTTGGCAACAACTTGTTTAGATAATTTTATTATTTTATCTTAGGGATGTGATAGAGAATCCCAAAGTGTGTTTCAAACTCACCAGATAAAATATGTATTTTAGGGAAGTAAGTCCTTAAACATAATTATCACATAAATGACCAGGTAAAGGGTTTATAAGCTGTGTACTCATTGTGTAAGTGTTTTGAGGAATTTTCCATGTTCTGAAGATTGGTCATTTTTCTTTTCAGCATTTACTATCACAGTTACCAAGGACCTGTATGTGGTAGAGTATGGCAGCAATGTGACAATGGAATGCGAATTCCCAGTAGCAACAGAGTTAAACCTGTTTGCATTATTTGTCTACTGGGAAGTGGGGGAAAAGAAAGTTGTTCAGTTTGTCAATGGGGAGGAAGACTTGACGGTTCAACACAGTAGCTACAGCCAGAGGGCCCATCTGTTGCAAGACCAGCTCTTTTTGGGAAAGGCTGCACTTCAGATCACAGATGTGAAATTGCAGGATGCTGGGGTTTACTACTGCTTGATCAGCTATGGTGGTGCCGACTACAAGCGGATTACTTTGAAAGTCCATGGTAAGAATTATTATAGATAAAGAGGCCCGACCTTTATTAAAATAATATTGCAATGTTGAGAACTTTTCATTCTTGGAAGTCCACTATTACTCTCCACAGCAGCAATCTGTTCATTCATTCATACACTCATCCAGTGAGCATTTCTTTTTCTTTTTTTAAAAAAATCCTTACCTGAGGACATGTTTTACTGATTTTAGAGAGAAGGAAAGGGAGAGAAAGAGAGAGAGAGACATCGATATATGAGAAAGACATCAATCAATTACCTCCCTTATATGCATCTCCACTAGTGATCAAACATGAAACCTAGGCATGTGCCCTGACCTGGAATCAAACTGGCAACCCTTTGGTGCACAGGATGACACTCCAACAAACTGAGCCACACTGTCCAGGGCCCAATAAGCATTTCTCAAGCCCCTACTACTTATAGTCCCTAGAGATCCAGAGCCAAACATGACAGAGCCGTGTTCTACAGAATGTTCAGTTTTCCTAAAAATAAATTCTCAGTCTTTACTTTGCTATTATTATAAAAATAAAACATATACTTGCAAATAATTTAGATACTATGGATGGAAATAAAATGAATTACAAAAGTGCCCCTCCTCCCTTTACCACCATCTTCCATGGCATTCAGACATAGCCAGGTAACCACTATTTGTGTGTTCCCTCCAGGATTTTTTTTTATTCGACTACTATTTTTATTTTATTAGGTCTGCCAGCATTTTCCTTCCTTTGAACCTCTCTATGTCAAAATCAAATAAATATATTAAAAACAAACCTCACTATAAGGTTCACATTTAAAAAGACTTGAAGTCAACTTATAAAGTCAAAATATAATTATATCAAGTATGTAGAGGAAACTGTTCTTCCTTAGAGATGGTATAAACTATGTTCCCTGGGCATTCATCTTGAAAATCTATACCAATGTTATCTTGGAGTGTTAAAGAGGAACCGTGAGTGACAAATCCTTGGGTTCTGAGCCACAAATATGTCATCAGGTCACCCTGGGATCAAAGTTTGGGTGGCTGCTAGATAAATAAAGGAAAACACCTTAGCTCTCCACCTCTGCTTTCACAATTAAGATTCCTAGAATTGAGAGCTGAGAGGATCCCAGGCAAGAGCAGCTAACCCAAACTCCCATGGAACAGAAATTCCCCCAAAGGATCTTCTGCTTACATACTTCACACAATGACACCCCTATTGAAATTACTTACTGATACTGACTTGAAATCTGCCCTCCTTACTTATAGTTTTAAAAATCATCTGCTTTTTTTTTTTTAACCTTTTAATATGTGACTAGAATTAAATCATCATCCCTTGGTCTTTCCATTCTTGGTATAACTACCATCAATCTGAAGGTCAATAAGTAGAAAAAGTTTGAATTTATCATAAAGGGATAACTGATCATTATAAACTCCAAAATCAAAATTATGTAAGAATTAGGAGAAATGTATCTATTTTATGGTATATGACTGGGTCTCTGATTCTGGCTCAATTAATGCTACTATTGTCAAGAAAATGTCACTTGTGTTGTGAAATAGATTTAATTTTAATTATACTTTTACCATATGCTTCTCCAGAACAGTGATATTCATGAAAACAGAATAGTGGGATTCCAAGTTGGGATTTTAAACTTTTCTTAAGCCCATCAGCACGTATCAGGCACTTACTGTGTTTCGATGCATGAAATAAATTATCAAGACTTAACCCTATAAACAGCCAGCATTGCTGGATCTGGGATGGGGAGGAAGAGCATAAGCCTGGCATTCAGGTAGAAGGAAGGATAGAGTGTAAGTTTTTGCTTCCAGAAAAGGTCCCTTATTAGCCTGTAGGGAGTATGCAGAGAATGGGGCAGCTGTCCCTACAGTGAGAAAGGGTGTTCTTCCAGGTCATCTGGGTTCTGTAATGTCCCTTTTTCATAGCTTGACTCCATAGATCTCTGGCTCTAATGGTTTTCCCAAGGAGGGGTTCCTGGTGGAGTAATGCAGATGACCAACATCTGATCTGTCTGACTATTTTGTTTTATACTATAAATTACTAAATTGTCATCCTACTCCCCACCCATCTTATTGTCATACAGTCGTCTTGGGGGTTGTTGAACTGAGCTGCACTGAGAGCAAGCCAGCCACCAAATTTCAACTGAAGCAGAGTCACCAACAGAACTTTGATGTCAGGGTCACATGAGCTATATAATTCCAGGAAGTAGAGCTCCTGAGTCACTCCATATGCAAATGATTTCACAGTAACACTATCAGGCTTCTCTTCCCATCACTGCAAACGTGTGGCAACATAGCTTCCCCACAGGGAGTTTACTCGCCGTGGCATTTTAAATGTGAAGCATTTCAAAACTGAAATGTGAAAGAATCTAGTTTTGAATTCACTCTATTATTATTATCACTTTGAGTGTGAGTGTTATTGCACCTTTCATGGTTTTTTTTTTAGTTTAAATACCAGATTTTCAAACATCCAACTTTCAGTTGAGAAACCTGTTTTCCTTTCATCGTTGAACCTAATAGCAGGGGAAATGAAGTGCCCTTTTATACTTTCAAGACCTTAACTGGGATTGGGCAACATAAAGACAAATATTGCATAGTTAACCTGATAAAGCTAATTTGTTCCTGTGGACCCAGGGTTAACTGCTGTCATTCCCCACCAACCCCATCTCTCCCCCAAGTTTACCAACCAGCCCTTTAAAGTTTTCTCTATAACATTTATTCCCCATGTAATATATCATGTAATGTATCATATAAGTGAACCTACTTTATTTATTGTCTTGCTCCTCCTTCTAGAACATATGCTTCACAAAGGGAAAGATTTTGGTCTCTTTTCATTGCTGAATCCCTAGGACTTGGCATGTAAGAGTAGTAGTGTGCATAGAAATGTTTGTTGGATGAATGAATGAAATATTTCCTCAAACAGGATAAGCTTAAAGATTTTGAAACATGAACAGGTTTGGATGTGGAAAATTTATTTCCAAGACTGTTCATCAGGAACTGTCAGTACTTTCTAATGAGTGCACTTAAGTGATAGTAGTAAGAGGAGGAGGAGATCTAGTAGTAATAGCAGCAGGAATTAACACTTACATGGTGCTTATTAGGTGCCGGGCTCTGGCCTACGCACTTGGCCTTAGCTCATTTCAACCTCAAATATCTTTGGAGTAGGGGCTTCATCATGTCTAAGATGCATATTTTTTACATTTTATATCTGTGAAATCTGAGGGTGTCTGTCAATAGTAGCATCTTAGATTCAATAGTATGTGGTGGTAGTCTTATTCCACAGATGAGGAAACTGAGGTTTAAAGAAATTAAGTAATTTGCCCAAGTTCACTCAGCTATTAAATAGTAAAACCAGGTTCTAAACTCAAGCAATCTGGCTCTGACATGTGTGCCCTTAACAATCAGCTTTCACTGCCTGCGTTTATACCTCCAGAGTGTGTATCGAGTTGTGTGTTGACTTCAAAACCACCATAAGCTTTTCTTGGTCTTGATATGACCATTGCATTCACCCATGTGTGCTTTAGATCTAGTAAACCAGGAGTCTGGCAATGCTTTTGATTACCTACCCCATCAGTAAAGCATGTTAAACTAACACACTCACATCTGTGTCCATGTGTGTGTGTGTAGTTATAGGGAATACATTGTGCTAATACATAGTTGTCTCATTGGAAATTTACATTTTTAGAAACCAGAAGAAATTGAACATCACCAATTTTATATGGTTCAGATTAATACATTATACATTCTATAATGTACAAAAACAGACATTTTAAAGGATGAAATAAAATTTAATAAATAATATTTTCAGTTTCTTGCTACATATGATGCTTCACTATCATTAGCTAATATTTTAAAGCACAATATATCTTAGATGAAATTCATCATTAACAAGGGTACATGGTCTTGACAACCTTGAGATTTTATTTTAACCAATACCTTGTCAGGTTCAATTAGGTACTTACTGTTTTAACTTCACAAAGAGATGGTAAAAAGTGTTACTCCTGACATTTCTTTTTGGTTTGTGCTTGAATTATTAGTATTATCTTCAATTCTCAGTTTCTTTGTGGGAAACTTTTTAATAAGTTGTTTATTTTGTAAGCAGGTTAGTTTAGTTAAAATTAGATAAGAGAACCTGAAAATGTATAATAAGCCCAAACAAGTCACTGATATCCCTTTGGTATTATAAAATTTCTCTCTTCCCACAAGACCTTCTGTGGCACCAGTGTGAGGCCCAGTGTCAATCAGTAAAGCTTATTAAGCTTAGATTATTTCTTAATTGTTATGATAAAAATACATATAAGTGGAAGTTTTAATATTTTTCCTATTGCCCCAATACATGTGCCCCCACTATAGAGACTAATGCAGTGGATATTTAATCAATGAGTAGAATGAGTCCACTCTTTTACTGGGCCCCTGTACGTGTACCCCACTTATATATATGCCTAAGAATGAAACAACGGTCTCCTTTATTCTTATACCATTAAAAATGATAATGGAAGAGTAAACAAGCATACATTTTACCTTTAACTATTAACTGTGATTTTAGGCTTGAAATTTTAGTTGTCGAGAAATCAAGTTATATACTATATGAACTAGCCCCTTTTATGGTAATGTTATTTCATGAAGTGTAATCAGTGGATTTGTTTTTTTAATGATTCTTAAACATAACAGATACAAGGTTGAGGACTCAAGTACTCATGAAAACCATATTTATGTGCTTTCAAATTGTTGATTTTCAATGTTTTCATTAGTGGTCTTATTGACTTAAGAGCACAAAAAGGTCACATCATTATTTCAGTTTTGTTTGTTTCTGGCTATATTAAATCTCTGTGAATACATCATGTCACAAAGCCATTGCTAGGACTTCACTGAAGGAATACAGAGTTGAGGCTCTAGGTGGACCAATAGTGGTTACACTAAAGTATTATAGGAGTAAAATAAAGATTATACCATTAGAATAATAACATGCTTGTAATGAATAAACATAAGTAAAGGTCTTAGGTGATATAAATGCACTAAATAATAGTACACTGGGTATCTTAATCCTAAAAGGGTCCCAAACCAATGATCTAAAATTTAATCAAGCTTTCTTCCTTGCATATAATTATTTAAATGATTTATTAAAATAGCCAGCATAAAAAAAAGTTTAAAAACTATGTATAATAATGTGATATTCTGAATGAGATCCTACAACAGAAAAAGGGCATTAGGGGAAAAGTAGTGAAATGGAACAAAGTGTGAAGTTTGGTTAATAGTAACGTACCAATGCTGGCTCCGTGGTGAAGTAAGATGTTAACAGTGAGGGAAACTAAGTGAGAAGTATGCAGGAACTATCTTTGCAACTTTTCTATAAATCTAAAACTATTTTAAAATAAAAAATGTATTTAGATTTTTAAAAGTTTTATCCAGGAACATGTGTCAATTTTTACAATGACATCATATTATTTTCATACCTAATTTCTGATCATTGACCTAAAGTTGAAAAAGTGAACAGGCCCATCAAAATCGGATTTTGTTGTTGTTTACTCAGTAATCTAAGAAACAGCACTGGCCACCTGGAGAGATTTATGTTTATAAAGACAGCATTATAACAACAAAAGCAAAATCCAGAAATAAATTTAAGAAGAAATGTGTCCTGTGTAAAAACTATAAAACTTAACTGAGAGACATATGAAGACTTGAATAAGTGGGCAGACATATTTTATACTTAGATAGAAAGACTACTGGTTTAAAGATTACAATTCTTTTTAAATTAATCTATATATTTACTTCGAGCCCAATAAAAATAGCAATATATTTATAGCAAGATAGTTCCTTTAAGCCCAAACTTGGCCAAAGTGAGAATAGAAGAGTTGAGGCAGAACTAGCAGGGGTTCCTCAGTGCTGAGACATCTAACCATTAAGCTGATTTTTATGAGAACCAGCCTGGATTTATATTCTTTCTAATGTGGACAACACCAAGCCACATGTCTAGTTCTGTGCTAAGTGAAAGCCCTGACTTCTCTTCTTTCTGCTCATGACCTAGCCCCATACCGTAAAATCAACCAAAGGATTTCTAAGGATCCAGACACCTCTGAATACAAACTAACATGTCAGGCTGAGGGTTACCCCGAGGCTGAAGTCACCTGGACAAGCAGTGACCACCGAGTCCTGAATGGCAAAACCACCATCACCAGTTCTGAGAGGGATGAGAAACTTCTCAATGTGACCAGCACCCTTAGAGTCAACACAACAGCTAATGAGATTTTCTACTGCACTTTTCAGAGATCAGGTCTTGAGGAAAACAGTACAGCTGAGTTGATCATCCCAGGTAATATTCTGAATGTCTCAATTAAAACGTGCCTATTGCTATCCTCTGGCACCAAGCATGATGTCTGTTCATCGTAGGCATTCATTGTTTGTTGAATGAATGGCACTATATTTACAAAATACATCCTGGTTCCTCATCTCCATTCATCCAAGTCATACTGCTATATTTATTAAATATTTATATAATATTTACATATCAACATGTATTTATTGAATATTGTCCACGTGTCAAGCATTAGGAGCTCACAGAAGAATAAGACAGTTCACATTCTTCAGGAAACATAAGACAATCTCACCCAGGGAGGAAATGCTCTTGTGGCTGGGGGACCCCGGGGAGCACCTGAGAGGAACACTCAGCTCGGGCCAGGTTTCAGGAATCCAAGTCTGAGCATATAGAGGAACTCCTTTCTTTCCAGGGTTTCTGTGGCAAGAAGCAAATGGAGTGTGCTTTCCTATTTTACTCCAAATGGGAGAGGTCCTTCCCATCTGCTTCCCCCAAGGTAACCTATGACATTCCAACTCAAGGCAGTCTGCTTAGTGCATAGGACATAATTGTGTGGCCCTGGGCAAGTTACCCAACTTCTATGTGCTTCACTTTCCCTATATGGCTATAACCTGTTGGGCAAGATTATCATTGGAGTAAATGAGCTACATTGTGTGACAATGATTTGAGACCCTTGCCTGCACAAATTCAGCTATTGTATTTTTTGTCTCCCTGCCCTACTGAAGTGTGCAAAGTGGGTAAGGCAGTATACAGTCTGGTGAAAGGCTCAGCCCTTTAGTAAAAGTGAGGTGGGCGAGCAGGATGTTAAATAAAACCAGAGGTGTTCTGAGAAGCACTTCTCACCTCCTTCTCCCCTGCTAGACGTTGATAGTAAGGCTCAGGCGCTTCAGAGAAAACTACGAAAAGGGTAGAGAAGCAATAATAAAATACAACCCAGGATGGTCCTGTGAATAAAAAGAGAAAAAAAAAGTTTAGAAAATGAGAGATACTCTTACTGGGATATGAGTTACTTTGGTAAGAGCTGCACTAGTGGGTTCCTGCCATTTAACAACTCTTTTATGACAATTTATTTGTGGGATGACTCAGGATAACCCACCTAACTGCTTGGAATCTGTTTTGTCATCTGTAACCTGGGGATTTTTTTTACACCTGACACACCTAATTTATAAACTTATTTTGAGACTCAAATAAAATAGATATGAACAGGCTTTATAGACTGTAAGCTACTAGATGAAGGCTGGCAGCTGTTGTGGCTTTAAAACTTGAATTAGGTAGTTGGGGATCGTGACTAATGGTGGGAGGGAGGTTAGCAGTCTCTGAGCATCGAGTGCCATGGGACCCCTTTTTCTTCCTTCATGGGACCACAGACAAAGAGATTGGGAGATTGGTGAGAGGTGCCAATGATTAGATGTCCCAAGATTTAGACTATGGAGAAAGAAAAGATAACAAATATTGTTCCCCGGTCATGACCACGGACATAGAGAGGTAGGCATTCTTTGGCAGTGCTGGTTGGCCTTCATATTCCATCTTTGCCATGCACAGTAGTCTGTTAACTTCTGTATTAAAGAATGTAAGAGAAAGTGAAGTAATCAAGGCTGCCATTTGGTACTGAGCAGCCACTCCCCGTGGCACTGTGCTAAGCACTTTACAAACATTAGCCTCACAGAAGTATTACTGTTTCCATCTTGTAGGCTAGTTAAAGGACTTGTCAAAGTTAGCAAGTGGCAACAGAATTTAACTCCAGGCCCATCTGTCCAAAGCCTGGGCTTCTTCTACTTTTCCATGCTGCTCTCATTTTCATATCAGAGGTATCTCACCATTCCAGCCACTCACTGGCCGGAAGCTTTTGGTATTTAAGCAAATTAACCTAAAGTTAACCTCAGTTAGTTTCAAGGATGATTGCTATCTTTAGTTTATTTTTGTTTTGTTTTGTTTTGTTTTGCAGAACTACCTCCAGTTCCAGGAAATGGGAGGACACGCTTGGGAATTGTGGGAGCCTTCCCATTGTTACCTGTAGCCCTGGCCTTTGTTATCTTCTACCTACGAAGAGACGGTATTTCCTTTATTGCAAGGGTCTCCACCGGGGGTGTGGGGAAACGTATGGGGGTGCTACTGTTGTTACAATGGTACTTAGGAGGCAGAGCCAAGGATGCTAAATCTGCTATAATCTGCAGGGCAGTCCCATGGAACAGGGAACAGTCCTACCCCCAATGCTAGCAGTACCCCCACCAGGAAACACCGATTCATAAAATGCTGCCTTCCTATCAGCCTTTTCTTTCAGGGCTAATTTTCAGTTATGCAAAGTAGATTTTAGCTGTGCCGCCGTGTGAACCTGTGTATCACCTTTCTCCAGTCCTGCTTGTTTTAGTGTCAGCATCACCTACATCGGAGGGCAGCAGTGAACACAGTAGTAGCATTGCTGAGGGAGTGACAGTTGGATCATGACTGCAGGGGAATCTGACTTGCCTTTGCAACAGTGTCTACTGTTTAATAGCAATCAGGGTGACACTGAGCAGGACTGCTGGATGAAGGTCCACGTGCACCAGAGTGAGGGGTGGGAGAACAGGCATGTAGAGAGGTTGAAGAAGACCAGCGTCCTACCACCTCTTTCTGTTATGCAGATAACCAATAACCACAGCCTTAGAGGAGAGAAAAAGTGAAAATACTTGTTGGTTCTAGTTGAATGTGAATCTTACATTAGTTGCACTGCTATATTGAGCTGGTTTCTGGGTACCCTAAGTTCTAAAAATAGTTTCTTCTGTAGAGCTGTGATACTTTTACCATAGAGTATTTTGCTGAGGGTGCTATGTAATTTTCTAAATAATTTGCATGTGCTTGTGTCTCTGTTTACCTATGGCAGTAATAAAAATGCAGGAAAAATGGGTCTATTCAAATAATTTCTTCCCATTTTAAGATGACTCAAAGCAAACATTTCTCCAATTCTTTGAGAAGTTTGCATAGAGTTCTCTGATATCAATAGGGAAGTAGAAGATGGAAGGGAATTCCAGTAGCTGTTGAGAAATTCCCCACAACCCCTTAAGAGGGTAGGTAGACCTGGGAAAGTAGTGTAATTGAGGGAGTGGAGGCTGCTGATTCTAAAGACTAAATACTTAGCAGAACATAAACAGCCAAAGTATAAGGATCCAGTTTCAGTGACAGAAAATCAAGATGGAGGTGATTTGTCCAAGGAAGTGACTGTTACCAGCATATACTTGGAATATTTTCCTGTGGGAAATAAAAGTATATATACCCCTAAAGAAAATCTGGGAGCAAAAGCATGTGCCCCAAGCTGTTGAATTAACCTCAGGGGTTGAGACCTATGGAATAAGGAAGTTTACCAGATTTCCTAGGGGATTAAAAATGTTCCGTAGGAACCTGGAATTTAAACTTGAGTCGCTGTGCGGGATGCAGAGTTGTGTTTTGTGGAAATAACAATGTGTGTATGTGTGGTTGTTTTTTCAAGTGAAACTTATGGATGTGGAAAAATGTGGCACTCGAGACACGAACTCAAAGAAACAAAATGGTAAGAATATTGGCAGGGATGAGAAGTTGAAGGGAAAGGAAACATAAAACCGAAAGTAATAACAAGGAGAAATCTATCAGCCATGATCCCTCTTCTTTTTAAAGAATGCCAGCTGTTGGAACTGCTGGCTCCTTTTTGCTTTGCAACTCTAATATAAGAGCTCCTCCCCAGCCTGAGAGGATTTGGGGATGGCCTGGAGAGCGGAGGAACATGAGCTGCTTTGTGTGCATGTGTTGGGGGTGCGGGGGGAGGGGGGGGAAGCTGCAGCTGGGGAGGAGGCAGTTTCTCTCCTCCAGGTTTCTCCTGCCTTGCACCCTAACCTCCCTGCCGCAGGGGACCAAGCCGACTTATGTGACAGATCGATGGATAGAAGCAGTGTGTCAGGAACTGTGTTTACTGCTTCATGTACAGTACCTCCTTTAATTCCCTCCCACCCTTCAAATCAAGGAGATAAATACTAGGATTACCTTAATTTTATATTAGAGAATACAGGGCCAAGAAGATCATGTAAACTGCCCCAAAACGTATAGCTGATAAGTGACCAAAATCAGGCTTTGAGGCCCACTAGCCTGACCATAGAACCTTACTCTTGACCCATCTGCGTGATTCCATTTTACCACAAATGTCTACATTTATAAAAGATCTGAAAGACCTCACCCAACTGATTAAACTAAGAAGAAGGGTATATTAAGGTTTTAAATTCTTTTTAATATAGTTAGAAACCAAACTTCACAAGAAGCCCAAGTTTAAAGTAGTCTAATCAGCTTGGACAAGCTCAGGCAGGTTTCCTAGCACCCCTTCATGTTGTAAAGCTAACTAGTTAATGTTGTTTGGTTCATTTTAGGGTGACCAGCCATCCCAGTTTGCCCAGGACTAAGGCGTTTCTCAGGACATGGGACTCTCAGTTTTAAAATCAGGACAGTCCTGGGTAAACAAGGGATGGTTGGTCACCCTTTATCAAGTAAAGGTACTTGAGCAAAAATATATTCTGCTTCTTTATCTTCTTGCAAATGTCTTATATCAGCTAGCAAATATAAAATGTTTCTCATTATTACTCTCCAGCTATACAGTTTGAGGAGACGTAATCCCGCACTGGAACTTCTGACCTTAAAGCAGGGCTTCTCGACCTGTGGTCCGAGTGTGTCGGGGCTGAGCATGACCAGAGGTGCCAAGGGACCAGCGCCTGCAGGCGATGTGGGGCTTGAACGGCTCAAGCACTGGAAACGGAAGCTGGAAAAGAGGTGAACAGGCAACGACGGAGGCAGAAAGCACAGCCTGGCAGGAAACCTCGATACCTCATAGTGCCTATGAAAGGGAAAAGGGACACTTCTGAACGATGAACCTCCATGTGAATTGAACATCACTCATCCTAGGAAAACAAGTTGAGATTCTCTGGTTTAATGGTCAGTTCCTGCAGAAGTGCCCTTTGCCTTCACTCAGTATCTTGATTGTGAGCCTAGTGTTGCAACAGCATTTAAGTGTGAGTTATTTCTATTTATTTTGAATCTGTGGGGTCTTGTCATGTCAGTGTGGTTGTGAATCACTTCTTTTGAAGATATGTAGCAAACTAAACTTTCTGCTTATTGACTTATATGTGTCCAGTAAAATTTATAGTATTTGTAAGGTGCTTTGTATCACCTATAATTATTGTCACATAGGAAGCACATAGAATAAACCATTGGTTGGTATAGGATATTACCTTATTTAACTCACTGATGCTTTGGATGACTTAAATAATCTTGTTCTCATACCTCAAGTGTCTCAATAATCTTATTATCAGACTTCAAGGTACGCTATATTACTATGGTAGCTGTTACACTTAAACATCAGCTTTACTGATAGGAATGTGGTATCTTACATGCATCATTTCATTTAATCCCTGTAACAACTGTGTGTGGAAAACTCAATTTAAAAATATATATATATCTTTATTGATTTCAGAGAGAGGAAAGGAGAGGGAGAGAGAGAGATAGAAACATAAGTGATGAGAGAGTCATTGATTGGCTGCCTCCTGCACGCCCCCAACCAGAGATTGAGCCCGCAGCCTAGGCATATGCCCTGACCGGGAATCGAACCCTGATTGCCTGGATCCTAGGTCGGTGCTCAACCGCTGAGCCATGTCTGGCTGGGCACAGAAAACTCAATTTTTATCCATCTCACAGCTGAGGTATTGGTAAGTAGCAGACCTCAGATTTCCAGGACTGTCACCCACTTCTGGAAAGGGAAACTGGATGATACAGGATGGAATGGAATGGAATGTCCTTTTAGAATACAATTTGTTTTCTAAATTATATTCTAAATTTAGAATACAAGCTGTGTTTTACCTTCCTCAAGAAATTCATTCATTCAGAAAACATTTAGGAAATGCCCTTGCATGTCAATCACTGTGCCAGGCAGTGAGTCTACAAATGTGAGCAAGGTAAAGTACCTCCCCTAAAGGAGCTCATATCATGATGGGGCAATTTATAGGAAAATTTGTTATTACACTTAGTGTAGTGTCATAGCATACGGTGTTGGAGGAGAATGAGAGTGAGGGAGAAAGTCTAGAAATGCTGCCAAAAGGAGGGGGAGCACTCTGGGTGGCCTGTCAATGTGTTCCTGGACAATTGAAAATATTTTAATAATCAAAGCAATTTTAGTTTATGAGAAGATATCAATATTTTTATTTTTTAAGATGTCAATATTTTTTAAAACTGTAGAAAATAACTCTTGAATTCCTTTTGTATCATTATATTTACCTCTGAATAATTTCCCTTTGCCATGCAATCTGATATTTATATAGTGCCTAGTATTAACAGTTCTTTTTTATTTAAATGCAGTTGAATTTTGAATTTATACCTTTTCATGATTCAAAATTCAGAAAGTCCATTAGGAGACATTAAAAAATCTCTGTTCCATCCTGTATCATCCAGTTTCCCTTTCCAGAAGCAACCACTATAATGTCTTCTCCTGTCTTTTTGCACATATTCATTTGTACAGTACCCCTTCTTTGTGATGTACAAGTGGAGGTCAAGTCTATTCACTCCACTCCTAAGTCTTAATGCCTTTTCATGGTGTTAGATTGATAAAGCACTTTATCCCTTTGTCTTGTGTTTCATTGTGAATGACATAGGCAAAAATGATATGTAATTCTGCATTTGGTTGTCATTGTATACACCCGCATTAATTTAATAAAATACTCTTATTTATTTTGTTTCGAGTACAACAGCATGATCATTTGCTTATTTTCTACATGCCTTATAAAACCACTCCTAGTTTAACATCCCAGTGGAGACAGTTACTTGAAAGATCTGAAGCCACCTTCCTAGTTATTTTTTTTATCATAGCTTCTATGATTATACAGCACACTCCTGATTCCTGCATGATGAAAAATGCCAAAAGAATGATTTTTAAAAGGATACCTTGAAAATTTTATTCTCTGTCCCCCAATAGCTTCTTTTAGAATACCCAAAAAAGATTCAAAACTGTGTCATCCAAATTGAAGATCTGAAGGAGGGAGGGTGGGAGAGATGGAGTGGTCAAGAGAACTAGAGGGAAACGAAGGGGCTTTCCTTCATGCGAGTACTCTTCTCGGATCAGTAAACATGAATGTGGAAGCCAACGCATATCAAGCTGGATGTAGTTCAGTCTTCAGGTTCTGAAAAGGAAATGAGAAACCTAGAATGAAGCCAAGTTTAGGATTGAGGCCTGGGACAGTGTGACACCATAAGAAGATTTGTGGCTTTAAAACAAATGACACTTGTCATTCAAGGAGTGTAGAACTTTTAATGCGTCCTCTAGTTTAATTCGTCATCAAGTTCATTTTGATCATTTCTCTGAATCAGACACTCAAAGGTAATGATGATTTCTAAGAATACATGTAAGTAAGACTGTGACATTAATTTAGAACGGATAGTAAGTAACCAAACGTTGGCTGAAATATACACTTCTTAGTTTCTCAGTTATTGTGAAGCTATCGTATTTTGGCTTCATTTTTCTACTAATGGATTATCTGATTGCAGATTCCATAGTAGAAAAATGCACTTGGATGGATAGGAAACTTAGAATATCCATTTCCATCGGAGGAAACATTATCAGTAAACACAGATTCCCTTTCACCTCCTTCCACTCAGTGTGACCTCTGTAGGAGATCTCTTCTTGCAGAAAATGAATATCTAATCCTGTCTTGCTGAGGAGAGAGAGGTCAGGCTGGGGAGATGGGCAGCCATCTGCACTGTGGAGTGAAATCTTACCCACAACCCCAGGATTCAGTCCCTCACCAAAACCTTTCAGGCCAGGTGACAAACCAGGGGATGATCTGGGGGTTGGGGGTAGGTTAGAAATGTTAAGGGACACCCACTGCAGAGATAGGCCTGAGGAAATGGGCAGCAGCAACCTGGTTGAAAGTGAGGTGAAGGGAGGTGAAGACCCACCCAGTCTCTAAACTTGCATTATCTCTAAGCTGGGGACTAGCCAAAGGATCATAAAAGGGATCTCAATGCTCTGAGATCCCTGGAGATGAATGCGATGGTGGTATAATGAGTTCAGACAGTATTCCAGTGCCTACATTTTGAGGGGGGTAATTTTCAAGATGAGATGTAAACAGGTTTACCAGAAGAAGGCATTGTGGCAGGATTGTAGTATACCTCTACATGTTAATCTGATTTTTCTCTGTGTATTTCCCTCTACCTCTACTCTCTTTCTTGATAGCCTGAAGGTAGATTTCCCTCCGCATCCCCATGCCGAAGCTCAGGCATAGAAAGTACCACATGATAACACCTGAAATTCTACTCACAATTCTCACAATTCACTACAAATAGCTCAGCGGGTCACAGTTACTCATGGGCATCTTCTGCAGGCCAGGCATTTACAGTGCATTGTGAGGAAGTTAAATATTAAATGTGGCTCATGCAGTCATGGAGCTTATAGTGTGAGGAGACAATACATACGTTGATGAAGAATTAATAATTCAAGTGTTAGAGAATATGAGACTTTAAGAAAATGTCTCAAAAGGGTGAAAAGAGGACAGCAAATGCTGTGAAACAAAGGAGGAAATCCTAGGTGCTAGGAAACCTTCAGCAAGGAGGCCAGATTCAACTTGGACCCTGGAGAATGGAGAAGTGCCTACTTACGATGTGGGCCTTAGTCCACTCAGGCTGCCATAACAAAACACCACACACTAGGTGGCTTGTAAACAAGAGAAGTTTTTATTTCTCACATTTCCTGAGTTTGGGAAATCCAACATCAAGGCACTAGCAGGGTTGTGTTCTGGTCAGGACCCTCTTCCCGGCTCATGTGTCTTCATGTGGTAGAAGGAATATAGGGTCTCTTTCATAAGAACAGCAATCTCATTCATGAGAGCTCCATCTTCATGACCTACACACCTCCCAAAGGCCCCTTTGTCCTAATCCCATCATCTTTGGGATTAGGATTTCAACATGTGAATTTGAAGGGAAGGGGTGGACCAGAACATTCAGACTATAGCAATGTAGAAAACAGGTGTGTTTTTTCTTTTCATAAAGGATAAATTGAATGATTGAAGAAAATCTGTGAACCCTTATATTTCTAGTGGAAACCTAAATTAGTGCAACCTCCAAAAAGGATAATTTGGCAATATCTATCAAAATTATAAATGACAGAGCAATTTTACTTATAGAAATTAACCCTACAGCTATATTCTCATAGGTGCAAGATGACCTATGTATAAGGATATTCATTGCAACTTTATTTATAATAGCAAAACACTGGAAACAACCCAGATGTCCATCTATAGGGAACTGTTTAAATGTGGTGTCACATCAAAACAACAGAATACTATATTAGATAGCCACATAAACAAAGAAGGAAGTTTTTCTGTACTGATATGAAATAGATCTCCAAGATATATTTATTGTTTAAAAAGGAAGTTATAGAATCGAGTACAGTATGCTACTGTACACTATATTATGCATACAACATGTACACTATGAACACTTACTTTGCATACTAGGAACTTAGTGTGTATGCTATGTACACTAAATGTGTATATTATGTGTACTATGTATTCTTCCAGATATACATTTTGCACTTTCGAAAGGGAAAAAAAAATAGAAGTGTATTTGCCATGTATGCAAAACATATCAGAAAGGATGCATAAGAAACTGCTAGAACTGGTTGCCTTTGGGTGGCATATTGGGTTCCTAGTGGGAGAGTTTTACTGGTATAATCTCTTGACTTTTGAATCATGTGAACATATTACCTATTCTAAATAAATAAATTATAGTTTTTAAAAGTCTGAGCTCAATTACTTGCCTTCCAAGGACTTTTATGTACTTTGAAGGAAATGATAACTCTCAATGTATAAGGCCAACACAAACATCAGCGGTGAGGAAGTTTGAACAACTGAATGTAACCACCGCCGGATTTCAGTCTGGACTTGAGCCCAACTGATTTGAATTATTTTTTTCTTTAATTTTCCCCTATTTTTCACTGTTGTCACTCCCAGCACAGCTCTAGTATGTGGAAGCATGATTGGGTCATTTATGGCCTCTGACTAAGCAGCTATGGGTTTGGATCCACGTGATGTAAATGATATCATTATTATAAACAAACAAATGAACCAAATCAACCCACTATTTATGTTGCCATAGACATCAAAGATGCTTCCATAGATATGAAATAAATGAAACATTTGGACCTTGGGAAAGCTTGCAAAAATGACCAGAGCCTATATTTATCCAGTCTGAGAACTGAGTTTAGCAAGTGAAGTTTTTGCGTAAGAGTGAGATGAAGCTTTTTGGCCAGCATTTTAGGGGATATTGGTGACTCTCAAAATCCCCCAACCTAGGCTTCCCCTTTTAGCATCTTGGCTTCTCCGTGGGAAACTTTGGCTGCCTGTCTGCAAATCAAGCATCCAGCCTTTGACAAGACACAAGAAGCTGTTTCACCTCAATGGCCTGCAGTGGTGAAGA